CACGAGCTCCTGCTGCCCTGCCGAGTCGAGCCACCACCTCCGGAGCGGGACTCTTCTCCGGAATGGCAGAGGTCTTCACCTCGACAGCAGAATCACCCGCCCTACTCTGTTCCGACATGCCCTTGCCCGCTCTCCAACTGACGGAAGACCTGACGATCTCAAGCTCAGGAACGGCAACTCCTGAAGCCGAAACCATGAACCCCAGCAATGGGCTCCGTGCCGAGTCGTTGCTTTCTCCGCTTCCTCAAGCCATATTGCAGGAATCGGGATTGATGGGCTTGAGACCCTGCCCTCAGCCCTGGTTGGGACAAGGATCGTCTCAGATCCGCCGGACTGCGATATCCGGGGGCAGGACCTTGGAGGGGTACTCGCCGCTCGTCTCAAGACTAGTAAGACTCAACCGTGGCCGTGGTTCAGAGAGCCAGGGCAGGAGCTGTAGCCCACCAGCTGGCCACCCGTGCGCTCCAGACCTTTGCAGTGGCTCTGGCAGACCCCCGGCCGCGCTGCAGTCTCGTGTTGTCATGAGCGAACAAGGCTCCCTGCGCTTCTCCACGGCTTTGAGCCTGTGCGTGACAGATCTCATCAGAACGTTTGTTAGAATGGAGGAATACTAGTGTTCACTTAACACAATGTGATGCATTAACTCTGCAGCAAGGTGTGACCAAGCTTTCTCCGGGCATGCCTGTCCGTCAGCTCCGAGACTTCATCTTGGCATCCCTGCAACCTGCACAGACGCCCCATCAAACTTGCTTTCCGACTGCATTTCACCTGGTTGTCCGTGTGCTGGCACCAGGCCTTCAGAAATGCACGTGTGTGCTTGAAAGCTATACCGGCTGTTCACCTGTAGATTTACCCGTTCTCGAAGGTTTCTCTCCCGGCTAAACCATGAAAGCAGGATACACGAGAACGGCCATCAAGGCTCAACATCCGTTTGGGAGACAACGAACCCACCAGAAGAAATTGAAGGAAATTTGCCTCTGAGTACTGCTGGCGATGTCGTCGGCCACCTGCCACACGACGACGGCTTCTGTCCCCCTTTAAGAATCCCGCCATGGCGCCTCCCTCCATGAACACAAATCATGGCTAGGCGGCGCCATGAGTCCGAATCAACGAGAAAGAAACCCTCTTCCCTGTCACGAAACTCTGACAACGTAGATGAGCCACCACAGGGCCTTCTTGAAGCCCTCGTCCATCTTCTCAGAGAGGCCGCGCTCGCCCTTGACAAAGATCCTGGCAGGTCTCTCACAAAGCACAAGGAGGCGACACAAGCTTTGGACCAAGTTGTGCACATTGCATTTGATCGGGGACTCCAAAGGTGGCTACTGCAAGGGTTAACAAAAAGCTGGAGACGACTGACAATCTTCAGCGCTTAAAAGTGGATGTATCCCTTGTGGTTTGTGCAGGTGGGAACCATTGCAAAATGTCTAAGACCTGGCCACGATCAGACAATCAAAGGTCACTCCAACTGGAGCACCACAGCTTGGGGGGCAGGAGCGAATCGAGAGTCCATGAGGAGCTTTTGGCATTTGGGGAGCGTCTGCACCAAACTCTGCACAGAACCTCGCCCCTCCATCAACGAGCTGTACCAAGCGTGATTCAATGCCAGACTGACATGATGTCACCCGCACTACCCATAAATGTGGCTCAGCCGCTCGAGAGTGCTCATGCGGCTGACCATGGCGACAATTGCAGCCTGGGCAGATTCTAAACAAACTTCGGTGAAAGCTGAGCGAAAGTTCCTCGAACTGACGTGCTTGCATGTCAAGCTCACTTCTTCTTTTCGCTTTCGTTTTGGTGCAGCAATGCCAAGGGCACGTGGGCTAAACCCATCTCAGCTCATGCATTGGATCGACTAGTCTGGCTTCTGATTGACGAATCTGTTGTCTTTGTGCTCACCGTCCGAATCCTTGAATTCTCTCCTGCGACTGCAAGGTATGTCTCCACAGCTATCTAGAATGACAGGCTCAGCCACGGACATCCACGAAGCCCTGTCAGCTGTCGACAATGCGACAAGTCAGTTCAGGACAGATACGAGTGATGCAGATTCCTGGCACCAGAAACTGAGACCCCTTGCAAAACCCTAGCCTTCAAGCTGGTGAACTCATCAAGAAGCCGCTGTTCCACACTGGTGAGGTCCGCAGCGCACTGCTGCTGAACGTCCTGGCTCCACGAAAAAACATGAAGAAAAGAGAGGCAACCCAAGCCCAAGAGCCCAAGCCAAAGCACTCCGGGCTCCGAGATTTCCCCACCCTGCTCCACTCCGAGACTACGCCGACTACGCGCACTCTCGAGCCTCGAAGCGCTCCTCGAGCCATTGCAGATCCAAGGCAGGCTCGAAGTTGAGGCCACCCTTGGCTTTTGGCCCGTCGCCCGTCGCGTTCCCCGTGTTGCACCTCTGTGCAGGGACCTCTCGACATCGAGGCCCGAGCACCGAAGGATTCTCCCTCGCTAGCCGCCTCAGGGCACCCAAGGAAGTTCCGTGCTCGAACCCCGAATCCTCGCTGCCGGCCCGCCGGCCTTGAAGCATGGAGAGCCTTCCACATCGCACTGCGCCTGCGTGCCAGCAGAACGAAGTCCCAGGCTTACCCCGTGGGCTGCACTGAGCCGTGTGCGAAGCGAGCATCATCCACAAACTCATCCACAGCCTACAGCAGCGAGAAATCCAAAGGATTCGATAAGCGAGGGAGAGCAAAGAAGCCAGTCTGCTGACCTGGCAACCACCGGATTTCAGCCTCGAGACAGTCAAAGCAAATGTCTTGCGCGATTCGGGCCCACTGGTATTGAGCACAACTCCGCACAGGCCACGTGAGTGAAGAGCCGCAAAAAAACAACCCTTGGAGCCAGGCACAAGGCTGCCCGTGCGGGGCCTGCAATGTAAGGATTCGTTGGAAGCTTCTCTCAAGCTGGACATAGCTCTGTCAGATGTCACTGTGAGGCCTGGTGTCGAGGCATTCCTGGCAAAGGCCGCCACCCCAAGTGACATGGACAGGCCGCTGCCACTTACGTGACAAAGTTAACGTTCCTTTCTCCCCTCTGTCCTGCAACTCTTTCACGTCTTGAGTGAGGTTCTGCATGGAGAGCTTCAACGCATCAACCTGTTGCGCCGTGCTGCAAAGCCACCGGATGCCAACGTTGTAACCGCATCGTTTGCCTCTGCCGCCACTTGCTTGAGCCACGGACCTGGAAATATGAACCACTAGCGAGATTTCCTTCGAATACCTACACAAACTCATCTTCCAAACTTGGCGCACCATGCCACATGAACACGCTAAGGCTTCGTGCCCTCTGCGACGATCAGGTCATCCGAAAGCTTCATGGAACCAATACCCGGAGCAACCTGGGGCAGGTTTAGACAGGTAACCCGCCCATGGCATGCATTGTGGTAAGAAGCGTTCTGCAAAACGTGCCAATGTTGCAAATGCCCAAACCCTGCCGGGTGAGAAGTCAGGTATGACAAAACCTGTATACACGCACCACAGAAGAACGAAAGATGTGTCCCCTTGGATTCACAAATCTAGTTGCATGTGCAGCACGAACTGAGCAACACTCTGAAAGCCGTCCCGTGCCCACAAACTCCAACAACAGCTTGCGCTGCTGTTCCCTGGCAGCTGCTTCCTGCCGAGACAGCAGCTTCCGGGCTGTCTAGCTGGGCCCGCTGCGTCACTCTTCACTGAGCACACCGGCCTCCAAACGATGTGAAAAGCATGGAGAGTTGAAGCGGGAAATCCGGCCGTTGTCTCGGGCGGCCGCACGACACCGTCCGTTAGCTGCTCCAACATCTCCTGGCAGCTAGCAGTGCTCGAAACTTCCAGCATGTCTGAGAGCGCTGAATCTGTCCTGCTGTTTCTGCAAGCGCATGCAGAGTTGCATACGCTCCAAGGATTCGCATCTCACAAACCTGGACGGCGGGAGGACGTTCAGCCACACCTGTTGGAAAGCCGAGAGCCGCACTCCCGGAGCTCTCCCAAGTCCGCAGTCGGCGACAGGGCCTCGAGACCCCATGGGGTGCAAGCGCGAATCGCTGTAACCTTCTTGGTCGCTTGCGGTTCGCGGAACCCTTTCTCAGGCACGCACAAACTTCTCGGACTCTGGCTCCAGGGCCTCAGGAAACGAGAGGAGGGCCCCAAAGAGCTCCTGAACCCAAAGCTGAAGTCCTCGCTGACCCCAAGAAACAGGGCAGACGGCAACTGGAACCCCGGCGGCTGGCGAAAGCACGCACTGAGGCCTGGGAGGCGGAATGAGGCTTTGAGCGCCCTTTGCAGTTTCCTGTTGCATGTTGCTTATTCTGTTGCTGTTGGCGTTTCTGATGTTGGGTGTTGCGCGTTGATCGCTAGCTGCTTGCTTGTTCGTTGTACTTGGTGTTTTTGTTCTTGCTCATGCTCTGCTAACTGCCTGGATTTCAGACGGATGTGGAATCAACACAACATACATCTGTATACATGCATCCATGCAGACACATGTCTGCGAGGATCACGGACATTCCAGGCTTGAACTGGGTTGAAGTTTCCATGCATCATGACTGCAGCTGGAAATGCTTTGAGATACTACCATCAACGATTCTACCTGAAGCTTCCTCTCTGCATCCCAGGAAACCTCAGCACAAGACGCGGAAACGTGCCGATGTGATCCTGGGAACTTGGTTGCTGCGCTGCTGAGAGCTCGCTCTCAACAGCCGCGAGCAGTACCCTTTTCCGTGATTCCAAGGGCCTGGCTGCTCTGACTCCAAAGTCATCGGCACGAAGCTTCAAGCAGCCCAGAAGGCGACTTTCTTCACACTCGCAGGACACGTGAAGCCCGGTTTTAAGTCCCAGTGCAGCTACCTTCGGGCTTTCCTTTAGAAAACCTTGAGAAGTCATGGAAGCTTCAAGTTCCTGCTCGAGATGAGCTTCAGTTTCAGGCTTCGAGCCGGCGCGGGCGGACAGGGCCGGATTAAGCTATGGATGTCTCCAGAAGGCATGGGAACTTGCATTGCACAGCCAGCACAGCAGTTAGGAGCGCACCACACGCAGCCACCCCAGAAAGTGCTGAGGTTGTCATGCAACTGAAACGTGGGGACCTGCCGAAGGCTTCGGCTCTAAGCAAGGCCGAGAATTGAACGGTGAATGTCCTGGGCAACGGTTTATTTGGCAGTCTTGTGACTGCACAAGAGCGACTGAGCACATGACACACATGCACACACCTAGCATGAATCTATACCGTCGATACCTGCATGCCGACAGACAGCCAGACAGACAGACAGACAGGCAGGCAGACAGACAGACAGGCAGACAGGCAGACATGCGTGCATACATACCTTAATACATGAATACACACACACACACATGTACACATACCTACATACATGCATGCATCACTGCATGCATACAACAATACATACCGCGCTACACACACACTTCCGAACATCCCTTTGTGCATCTACAGTCATATACATGCATGACCTGCAACAAGATTTTTGCAACTACATATACAGAAACACGTGCATAATGCAGGCACGCATGCAGACATACATATGTCATGCGTACCTACCTACCCACCTACCTACCCACCTACCATTACCTACCCATTGCCTGCCACACATACCTACATACCACAGACAGACGGGTGTGCACTAGGAACAATTTGCAAGGCGATTGCTACCTTCCAGATGCAACCCACACTTGCTTTGCAATTGGTGCTTATATCTTGAGCCGACTTTGATGCCGGATTTGTGTTGAGCTTTTGGGAAATGCTGAGGACCCAGGACAGTTCGTGGTTTCGCCATACCTGTGGACATACAGCTGGTTGCCATAGTTATTTCATTTCCATGATTGTACGGAGGTCTCGGAGATGATGATCGGCAGGCCAAGTGTCAGAAACGACTTGGTCTGGGTCTGCCTCTGGCTGTTCGCGATTTTCTGTATGGCCAAAGGACTCACTCAGAGAGCACGCTTAAAGGGGACCGCCCCCAACCTTCCCACGCCGCCTTGCTCCACATGTAAGCCTGGTCTTTTGGCATCACCTCAATTCGACAGAGCTGGTTCTGTGCGGTCAAGACGTTTCTCGGCTTTCCTGGCCAGTCACGTCTTTTGGCTTGACCCTCGGTCTGTGGCCGCGGCAGTGATGAGCCGCCAGCACGGCGGGGTGCGCAGAGCCAGGAAGAAAAGGAGGCCTGCAAGCAAAAGCAGATGCAAGCAGCCGCTTGCCGGGGGAAAACTTCTTTTTTTTAATCGGCTTCGGGCCAGGCCTAGGGAGTCGCCCAGCAGCGCACAGATGCAAGCTTGGCGAGGCTGGAGATGCTCCAAGAACACCTCTGCAGGGCGCTCGCATCGCCCCGAAGTTATTCAGTTTATGCCTGACAGATGCGATGCCGCCTGGGCCAGCGTAACCGGCAGCAGGACGACCGTCAAGAACAGGACGGCAAGAAGCCTTTCGAGTCACTCTGGCAAGCAAGGGCGACCTCACCAACTGGAAACTTAGTGAGGGGCCTCTGCGATGCCGGACGCCGCCGGCCGACGAGCTCAAACAGCCCCCAGCACCAGTAAAAGTGAGCCTGCACAGATAAGAAAGCTCTGAAAGGGACACTGCCAAATCCCTTCTGCTTCAGAACGGCAGCTGGCACGCTTGGCATGTCGCAAGCACGTGCGAGATGTGCACATCTAGGAGCCCGGCCGCCGTCACCATGGCCTCTGGGATCAGGCCCAAGGTCATTCTCTGAGCCGAGACCTGGCCAAGCTTGGACACTGCCACCGCCGCGAGGCAGGAGAGCACCAAGATCCAGGCTTGTGGACCCGGCACCAGGAACCACCAAGAGGCCTCGAAACTGCACTGAAGCCACGCTGCCACCAAACACCAAGCAGATCGCGGCTCTCCTCCAGCATAGCGGAGGCCGGACGGATGACCAGCCAAAAGGCGGCAACTGCAGCAGCCTCCCAATATTATATATCCGGGAGTGCCCTCCCCTCGATGCCCTGCCACCTCGATGAGCCCGCGGTTGGCAAGGAGCGGCAGCCTCGTGCAACAGGGGCGGGCGGCTGTCTGCTCTGCCTTGAGCCTTGCGTCACTTTCCGGTCGGGGGCGGCACCCCACGGCCACCAAAGATGGCAGGAGCCCGACCACCGCCTTCTAGCAGTCGACGCGACTTCCGCCACTTCCCTGTCCTCGACACCCCTTAGAGCAAGGCGGCAGCTCGCCACGGTGACGGAACCTGAGTCCGGCCAGGTGCGGCATGCGGACTCGATGGGCCCAGAACACGGTGCACTGCTGATGCCTCCGTAATCAGGCAGCCACTAAGGTCTCAAAGCCTAGGTAGAGCTGGGTAAAGATTTCCCTGTAAGTTTCGTTCCGCGTGGCCTGGCGTGCTGGTCAGAGCTCACACGGACCACGGGCTGAAACCCCCCGGGCCAGGGCCTGGAGAGCCTGGCCGATGGCCTCGACCTGCGGTATCGCCTCGGGAATAAAAAGGGTTTAGGGCCAAGGCAAGAAAGCACAGCTACGAGGTGCACATAGGTGCACCTGCTGCACGAATGACTTCACACCGCGCTTCTGCAGCAGTTCGAGGGCCTGCGCGAGCGTGAGAACAAAGTCATTGAGCTGTTGCAACCATTCCGAACATTCCCGCATGCGAGTTGCCGGAATGTCGCAATATGTCGCAATGCACCGGTACAAATGGGCAAACGCCGAGATCTGTCGAAATGCATCTTCCTTGACTCCGTCCGCATCTAGCTGGTGCGTCGGAACCCGTGCACCGCAGCCGGCTCGATCTCAGCCGCAGCCGCTGCAGCTACGGGAGTGGCACCTCGGTCGAGGAACAGAGGAACAGCTTCTGGAGCTGTGGCGTTTCGCAGACGTACCAACTGAAGAAGACTGGTGCAAAAGTGGCAATGCACCTAGATCCTGAATGCAAACGGCGGGGGCTTTTTGCTCTCCGTGCAGCCTGTCCAAGCATGTCCTACTTTCCAGTCAGCTGGCACCCACGAGACGCGACCTGAGGCAACATTGGATTCTTGCAAAGTGCACCCGTTCCACACATGTCTCTACCTCTCATGAACCTTCTGAAGCATTGCAGGCAGGCCTGCAAGGTATTTAGCCGAAGAGGTCGAAGTCCATCTCCTCAAAGCCAGATTTAGTGGCAGCATAATAACGGCTGCTGAAGCAACTCCACAGCACAGTAAGAGTCTGCCACATGTTTGCTCTATGCCATGCGATCTCCTCTTCCTCTTCCTCCTCCACCGCGGCCTGAACGAAGGGACATGGATTCTGCACTGCTTGAACCGTCAAACACCCCAGGACCGTCCTTCTTCTCCTCCTTCTTGGCCTCTGCTGGTGCGCCAGTGGCAGGGCCAGACGCGGCCACCGGGTTGGCCGCGGCGTACGCCGCGGGATCCGCCAGGAACGTCTTCACTTCCTCGACCTGGCGCCATTCCGCGGGTGGACCGGAGCCAGCGCAGTGGCAACCCACAGCCTTGAAAGAAGACACGGCGACGCACCTCCTTGAAAGTGAAGTCGATGTCGGCAATCAGGGAGGCGACGTTACGGAAGGCGTTGCCGAACGCATGAGGCAGGCCTGCCTCCGTGGGAATGCCAACCTGAATCCACAGGCTCAGCACGTCGCAGCTGGCAAGAGCAGGCAAAAGCCTCGCGGCTGAAGGCCGCCATGTTCGCAACGCCTGCCAGGAACCTGAAACAAGTGACCCCAACTCCAACTTCCGGGTGCTCTATCAATGAAGCGTCTTCGGACGTCTCTGACGAAGGGACTTTGCGATCAGCTGCTGCTCGGACATGTCCAGCACAGCGGCGCTGAAGACCGCAGCATCCTGGAAGACCTCCAGCACCTGCAAGGGCAGTGAGCCATACTGATCTCAATCTTGCAAGGCATGTGGGGTTTCACCTCGATCTTGTACTCGAAGGGTCGGATGCCCAGCTTTCCGAGCAGCACCGCTCCACTTGCAGACACCTGTGGAGGCACACGTCGCCCAGGCGTCCCCCTGGAGTTCATCTCGCCTTCTCTCCGTTGGCCAGGATCTTGAAATCCGAGACCAGCTCGATCTGTCCCTTCACGATCTTCGTACCGATGTTCAGAGCCTGGACAGGGCCAGTCTGTTATCATCCGGAAAGAGCATCCCAACAGTCGGCACCAAAATTCTAAAGTCGGTCGGTGCCTGGAAGAAGGCCGTCTGGGAGGGGTCCATGCCGGTGGCTCCAGCCGGGATGTACCAGTCGACAATGGAGGTCCTGGGATAGCATGACTTCATTTTGGGACTAGCGCCGGGTGGTCTCTGAAGTCAAGTCCAAGCGACTGGCCAGCCTTGGCAGCTGACTGGCGCGTGTGCTTTGCGAGGCATTCTCGGATGTCATCCAAAGTGCAGTTCCTGCAAACAGAACAGCAGGAGCAGGACTGGTGCAGGCTGTGAGCATTGCAGGGCGAAGCACGTTGCGAAGATGAAGCCACGGTTTCCCTGGATGGCCGCTCGCAGCTTGTCGAGGCCGGCCTGCTTGGGAGCAGGACGGCAGGGCTCGGAATGGCTCAGGAAGGTCAGCAAAGCTTCGAGCCGTTCTGACCCTGCCCGCTCTCAAGACAGCGTACCTCTGGGTGCTGTTCATGACCGATCTCGAGGGCTTTGCGAATCATCGTGTTCTTGCCTGCCAAGATGTCACTACGCATTGTATGACCCTCGCATGTCGTGACGACGAGCTTAGGTCTAAGTTCAACTCCAAGCCGCCCATGAGAACGATGGCACGGCCGCGGAGGTCGATGCGAATGTCCTGCATCTGCTTGGAGGCCACATGGTCCACACCTCGCGGCACAGGGCCGAGAAGCCGAGTTCTTCAAAAGCCGCACAATCTTGGCATTGCACCTACAAGGAGGGCGTTGGGAGAGTTCACGCACAAGTCGATGAGCTTGTTGAAGTACCTGAAAAAAAAACAGGGAGTTTCCAACACCGCCGTTCAGATCCGTTCGGGACTGCGCTCAATAGGCTAGGAAGCAGACTTGCTCTTCTTCGCCAGCTTCTCCTTGTTCGGCATCCTGTCGCCAGTTGCGGTGTAAGGCTTAGACAGCCGAAGGCCGCACAGATCCGCACAGGGCGCACCTGTGCAAGCTTCGAGGACCTTCTGGAGCGTCGGGGGTTCAGGCTGTCGTCGAGCCAAATCCGCTGTGAGCGACAAAACAAGAATGTGTCTGCTGGGTCCCTAGGCAAAAAAACCCAAAGACCTCACTCCATTCCATCAGAAATAAGCAGACCACATGATCCCCCCGAGGCCGAGGCCATGGCCATTTGCCCCATGGAATCGGATCGGCTTGGAGATCCCATCTGGGAGTTTCTAGAGACCTCTACGAGCTCGGGCAGCTGCGAGATCTGCGAGTCACCTCGCCACTTCGCCGCGGACCCCGCAAACCCTCGCAGAACGCTGCTTTTCCGAAGCCTCGACTCTCCGACTCAGCGTGATCGTCCAGACAGCTCTGTCACCGGAAGGTGCGGCTGCGAACAAGGAACGGAAACTTGGCAGCTCTGTGCTTACAATGAAGCATGGCTGGAAGACTTGCTCCGTTGCTCCACATCACCTCTTGGCGTCGCTTCGGACCTTTGCATAGCGCGGCATCTGCTTCAGACCAAGTCCCACATGTCGGACAATGCGACAGACTGCGTAGAGATTCACATGACAGCCGGCCTCTGCAATGGCGGCGCGAGCCTTGCACAAGTCACATGCAGCAAGCAAGATCACCTTCGGCTTCCCAGCGGCCTGCTCCAAATAGTCTAGGGGATCCTCCAAGCTTTCCTCAGGAACTGACCCCCAGGCTCTTCGCAGTGCCCCTCTGACTGTGACAGTGGTTGAGGAGCGAGCCGTGATTTTCTGCAAAGCTGCGCCCGTCTCCTTCCGAGACTCCACCTGCCACGGCCAGACCCCTCAAAAACAACGGCAACTTAGCTTTCTCTACCCTGTCCCTCCCGGACCTGCGCTTTGTCGGCGGAGTTAAAGTAGAAGGCTCGCTTGGTAAAGCACCACTCCTCTTCAATCTCAACAGGCCAAGGCATGGCTTCGCATCCTGTCTCTGACTCTTTCAGCATCGGCTCCTCGAGCTCCTGCAGGGTGCCACGCGCAATCACCAGCGAGGAGTCACACCTGAAGCAACGACCCGTGCACAAAAATTCGGCAGGGTCAAGTGGGTTGATCCAAGCTGCACTTTGCTGTTCTTGCATTGGTCCGCCCATGCACCAAAAGGCTGGCCGCCCACTCTCGACGGAGAAAGCACCTCTTTCCGTGTGGACTGCTCGGTGATATGAGCTACAGCAACAGCAGCGACACAATTTGTTGACAGCCGAGCTGCGATCCCTATGGAACCCACCTCGGCCAGAGCTCACACGACCATGCGCCGCATCGCTCGTCAAAGCAAGAAAGCATGTGCCAAGAGGCCGATGGAGAGACGAGGAGGTTCCTGTGTGCCAGAGAACTTAAAGAGAAGAAAGGCATGCAACGGACATTGACGGCCCTTGCCCGTGTGCCTGACTCCATCGAAATCTCCCTGCTTCAGCATGCTCTCGACACCCCCGAGGGAGGCCAATGCAGCATCAGCCGCAGCCGACAACGACAAGCCTGGTCGGATGGCAGTGCACAATGCTGCACAATGCAGCAGAGGATCGGGCCTTTTTGCTGGAACCATGCCGTCTGCACAGCGTACCGGTTTGCCTCTCCAGGCAAGAACTTACGAGCTCTTGGCCGCCACTCTTGCAGCGCCACCTCGACCTCTTCCTTCGTCAGAGAGATCTTTGCTCCGTTTCCCTTGGAATCCAGAAGCTGCTCCAATCAAGAGCCACCAAAACAAGTTCCTTCATTCATGTGGATCCTCGCAGCGAAAGCCTCCCGCCTCGTAGTACTCCTCCATCATCGGAATTGCCGCCTGAATTCGGAGCTACGCCAATGCCAATTGACCATGAGGTGGTTCTCCACAATACTGCCAAAAGCAAACATAGACCTAGCATGATTGGCTGACTTAATCCTACATTCCTACATACAGCTTGATCGAAATCGGTCTCGGCAACTTGGCGCCTGCGCGGCAGCTGGGGCAAGGGCCAGCAGCCAAGCCCGCCGGCCCTGAGCAGTGCAAGCGGAAGGGCAACTCTAAGGTGGGATGGACGAGGGATTGGACTTCCAAGTTTCAAGCGGTTGCGGACTTCTGTGCACACGGTATTGTAGCATACTGGTTTTTGGATCGTGGAAGGATGAAGGATGCAAAAGAGTTCGATGGACATGAGGCTGTCGGGAAAGCCGCGGTGAGGTTCCGTGCAGGCAAGAACACACACATGAACACAACCGAGCGGAACGCCAGTGCAAGCGGGACTCTGCTTCCGCGAGCGGTGCCACGTTGGCTGGCTTGTGGCTGCCCGAGATCAAGCTAACTCGGCCATGCAAAGGAAGAGTACTGTGCCCCGGGTCCCGGGGGCCATACGTGGTGAATGTCAAAGCACTTTCCGGGGCATCGGCAAAGCTGCTGTTGCGACCGGATCACGCACAACACTGCCTTGCCACACGGCATCACGTACCCTGACATTCTTTCCACTCGACTGCATGCACATGTTTGCTGCCAGGTGACACTCATGAGGACTGCCAGAGCAATAGATGTGCCTTGAGTAATTACGTGAAACTGCCCTCACGACTGAGGTCAAGGTGCCGTCGGAATTCTCCGAGGCTCGCGCGTGACAGCCGGCATGTTGGCCGTCCAACATTGAGGTGCCCTTGCGTCCTGGAGATGTTTTGAACGAACCACGCCCTTGCAAATCCACAGCTGGTCCTGGATGGTGGCTTCATCTTCTGCTGTCCGGCCGTTGAGGCTATACTGAACCGTTCAAGAGGTACTTAGCTTTCTTTTGGATTTTGGAGTGTTCTGGTTGCTGATGAGCTAGGCTTGATTCTGCAAGGAAGAGGATGGTCGGATTGCACCATACTCTGCATGCTTCGCATGGGCGGTTGAGCCAGAGCCTTTGCTCCAAACGGTTGCAGGAACACACCTCTCTCGGGCCACCTGGGCACAGAAAACTTTTGCACGCTTGCGATGCTATGGGATCTTCTTCGGCAAACGTGTAGATCCGGGTGTCTGCACGGAGTTGCACGCGTTCTGGGGCAGATCTGCTCGGGCACGCTGCGCCCGGGACATCGGGGTCCTTGAGAAGAACTTTGGGATCATCTCCGAGATTCTCCGACAGCTAGTCGCTACTCGCTGAAGTCTTTGAGACTGCCATCTCCCTGAGGTCTTCTTGCCAGCCCAGCCGAGTCACCTCAGCGACACGAGATGTTCGCGCTGTCCGTGGCAGCTGCTAAATAAACATGCGGCTCAATGCCAACACAGCTGTGACCTACACGAATCTGTAAGTGCGGTACCAGCTCCTGGACATGTTCGTCACAGTCACCCAACAAAGAGATGTCAAAGCCGAACTCCGAGATATCTTCTCGATTCATGAGGACTTTGATGCATGAGCGAGGTGGATCATGGGGCAGGTCTGCAAAGGGATACACAGAGAGAGATGTCCCAATGACCTCAGGCTCTGTCAATCGCCAAATTGCCCCAAACTCGAGCACAATGCTGACTGCAAGACGCAAATGACGCAACTCATGACAAGTGCAGACCGATGACCAGCAGTAACTGGCACTTGCAGAAGTCCACGGTTCGGTGTTTGAAAAAGGATGCCGGCAGGTTCTCCCCAAAGAAGACGATGTCGGGTTTCACCAGGCCTCCGTACTTCTCGCGCAGCGCCTGCCAGCCGCGTGGGCCCTCTTTTCCGGAAAGCACCGCCTGGCGCAGCTCCTCTGCTGGCACGCTCTTCCCGTTTCTAATGCAGCTGGCCGTGTCGAAGCTGCCTGGACAGGAAGTGACGCCGACGCCAACTCGAAATAAAAAGGAGAGCGCACACGTGATACGCAGGGTGCATCTCCAAGGTGCCATGCGCAGCGACCACACGCTCGGACGGCACCCCAGCAAGGCGCTCGAGGCCGTCGATGTTCTGCGTGAAGCACCGCAAGAGACGGCCCTTCCTGTCCAGCGTCGAGATGAAGCGATGCGTGAGGGTGGGCTTGTAGCCTGGCAATGCGGAGGAGACGATTGTTTTCAGCAGAAAGGGGGGCTCCCATGGGCTTTTTTTGCCGCCCGCCTTGGACACCGGGCCAAAGATCCCTCGCCAGCTCGTAGAAAGCATCCGGGGCTTTGCGAAAGTAGTCCAAGCTGAAGATCGACTCAGGAGTAGGGAGGTTGTACTTCTGCAGATTATCGTAGAGCCCGGTTCCGGGGCTTCTGAAGTCCGGAATGCCCGCAGCGGTGCTGGCTCCTGCCCCTGCAAGCACAATGATGTTTCGCTGGCACGGAGAGGTCAGGATCCATTCCGCGAGGCCCTTGACGCAACGTGACTTCAGCGGGACAAAGTCCTGCGACAGGCCGCGTGCCAGCAACGGCCCCATGGCAGATCTACGGCACGACCATTACGACAGACCAGGGCGTCGCAGGTTGCTCCCTCGTTTCGTGATCTTGCCACGGACACTATCATCGACTACGAGATCATACAATCTTCTGCTGTCGTGACAATGGGCAAGAGCAACCTGATTGCTGGTGATTCAGTCTTATCAGTCTTATGATCTTATCTTGGCGTTCCCTAAACCTAACACCGAGTTTGCCCAAAGCCAAAGCTTGCTTCGGGACTTTTCCCCTCGAACAGAGGGAGAGGGCCAGGGGTGACCAATCGAAGTGTCCGAGACTCCTACAAGTGCCCGCGTGCAATCGGGCAGGAGCCCGGCTCCGAGAAGCCGGGCCCCGTCGAAAAAGCTGCAGACTCTCCATGCAGCTGGCTCCGGTTGAAGCTGCTGCTGAACTTGGTAATTCCATTTTGTCGTGGCTCAAAGCTCCGATTGGGGGTGGCCTCCGGGCCTGGGCCTAGTCGAGACATATCCCAAGCTCGATAAAACGAAACGAACCAGCTCTCCGGCAGTGGTGTCCTGAAGTCTCACTGGACTTTGTAGCACCTCCTGTCCCTCTTTGGACACCCACACAGCTAACGGCAAGCGTTTAGACCGCCACGACTTTTGGAGGTCCTTGCAGAAGACTTTTTCGTCCTGCCTGCAGTCGCAGCACAGCGCACCGACTTTCGCAAAGGCACGTCCAGTCTCCAGGCCCTGGGCAGCGACGTGAGCTTCGTTCACTTCGAGGTCGTACCGGTGTGCCAAGCTTTGAAGGCGTTCCCTCAGCTTCTTTCCGCCCTGTCTGCCCAAGTCTCTGGCAGCTGATGTGACCGGTTCCTGGAGGTCTTGCGCAGCCTGCATCTTGTACAGCACCACTAGCCAGGGATGCTTTGCCGTCTCGTCCGGATAATGGTCCACACAAAGCGGCACGACGGATTTTTGCCTTTCAAACAGACCGCGGGGACATGCCACACTCCCGCCACTCGATCGACTCGACCGCCGACTACGCACTTTGTCGAACCAGGACGCAATCTGCGATTCCGAAGCATGTCCTGAGTATTGGACCATGTGTCTGCAGCCGATTGCAAAAATGCTTGGGTATCCAGTAATGTTGTGCTGACGGCAAACTGCCTGGTTGCTTGTGTTGGTGCAGTCGATCGCACCGACCACGATGTCATCCTCCCCCCGCAGAGCATCAGCTATGCCCAGAAGGTGCGGCTCTACCGTCTGGCAGTGAGCACAGTGTGGTGAGTGGAACATGATCAAATGAAGTACGCGGGCATGCCTTCCTGGAAAGTTCTCCGAACCAAGAATCACCATCGGTTCACGGACATCACCGATGCAGATGCGGAGAACCGCCCATGCCAAAAATCCCCAGGTCCTCATTCCTCCTTGCAATCCATTGCTCTCTGCAGCGGGTAGGTGCCTTATGTGGGGCCAGTGCACTCGCACCGGGTGCAGCTCGAGCAGCTCCGTGGATCTTCGGAATGCGACACAGACCGTCGGGCAGCTACCGGACAGCCCTTCAAAATAACAGGATATCAGCGACACTACTCGTCTAGGTGCTGTAAATCACGATTCTGTAGAAACCTCCTGGCCTAATGCAGCAGATTCAAGCAGGCCGTACCGCACTCGTAGCCTTCCATGAGCCCCATACTTGACGCTGAGCAAAGGAAACTTTATGAAAGCTGTCGTTACAGTACACATGCACCTGTGATGGCTACCGTCGCCAGAACTCAGCAGCGAGGAGCAGAGGGAGTGCACGCACCTCGTCACCATCGCAAAACAAGTCATCGCAGCCGCCAGCACTTTCTTGTGTGCGTACCTGGCCGACCAGAGTTCGCGATGATTGAGGAAAATGCCACTGCTACAACAGTGCTGTGCTGGATGCAAAATGCACATGCCGGCCTGCAGGAGAAGATTCCAGCAGAGCACAGAAAAGACCACCTTGCACACGTATCCACTGCAGTGCTTGACATTAATGACAGTGGAATCACCACTGGCTAAGTGTGTTGCCCGCCGTGCCATTGCACGCTTCTTCGGTGGGGCAGTCAGGAGTGCATGGACCTCGCTCGATCTGCGCATGTTGTTGACAAACATAGTGTGCAAGCCGAGACCCCAGCTGCGCAGCGACAGGAGGCGCAGCAGTCCAGCAAAGCACTTTTCCCCTGAACTAAAAGGTACCTTGAGCGAAGCATCAGATCAAGGCGAGCCTGCTTCAACTGGCACTGACATCACGCAAACTTGTAGCTGGTAGCTGTTAAGTGAGGCATGAAGCTTGTCGCCAAGACTTATCGAGGTTCGACGAGCGGTGTTGGCCACAGAATCAAGCGCGCAGCTTGAAATGGAACGGCTTCTAAAGCCATGGACTTGCAGATCCCGTCTTAGAATCTGCATCAGTCTTTTTGCAATTGGAGGGTCTTACAGCAGCTACCGCAGCTCTGAGTGGAAACAGCCACACACTCCCTGCGTCCTTCCTGCCACGTCGAGCTCCGTGGGCACAATGCGGTCTTCGAAGGGTTGTGCTTCTAGGTGAGCAAGACTTTGATTGCCTTTCAACTGAGTAGGCCCTTTGTCCCCATCTGTGCTTGCTGACGTGGAAGCCTCTGCACCTTCTGAGTCTCTCGGTGACAAACCGCGACGGACAACGTTCCAAATGATGCTCCCAAGAAAGCATAGAAGCCCAAATGAAGCAATGGACAAGGCGATGAGGATGGTACCACTGAGATCCTCCAAAGTCAGACCGTCCTCTTCTGTTCGTTCATCCTCGACATCACAGTGAGATACCGGGAAAACTTCAGCATTTAACTTCTTCATCTCTTCCATAAGTCCATTGGTCATCGCATAAGTCACAGCCCAAGACATGCTGTGTGCCATCCTTTCACTCACAGGAAATGAGATCGGCACGGACCACAGAAGGTCCCCAACACGCATGAGATTGCAATCGTCTCGAGGGTTGCCCAGAAAGTCCCTCTCACAGCGGCCTTCCTCTTCGCTGATGCTCCCACTTGCGACAGCATTGCAATCGTGCTCACGAAGCAACCCTGCGTGCATGCTGTCAATAGAAACCTGCGACATGATTAGCGCCCCGCACGCCCCCGAGTACATGAGGCGCGGTGCGTTTCGTGCCTCGGGACTTTCCACAAACGTGGCACGTGGAAATACACTGGAGAAAGTTCGAAGCAAAGCCAAGGGTGCACAGATGGGAATGTCGCGATCAATGGCTTCTTCGATGTTGTTTATCGTGCCAACACTTTGCCGTTGAATCACCAAGATCGATGCCAAACTTGCAGTGTAACTTGCCAGCACCACCAATATGAAAAAAGAAACGGCTGCGCTCAGGAGTTTGCGTGCTGCACCGTTGTGCATGACAATGCTGCTCTGGCCCAGAAGGAAATCATGAACTAAGTTGAAATGGACGCGAACCAACTCTTCCAAGCTCCAGAAAAGTTTGGCACTGCAGCTATTATGCTCGTCATCCTCACAAACTTGCATCAGCCACAGAAGAAACGACGTGAAACATAAGAACACGATAATGCCGAGCCAGGCTTCTGGCGTAAAGGGCAGGAACGGGCTTCTCAAACGGGTCCACATAGTGACTCTCTCAACTTTCCTTGGCACCACGAGGAAGAAGTAGTCTTGCCGTAAAGGTGGGACAAAAGTAGCAAGCAAATGACGCTCGGGTGTAAGCCAAAGATCTGCAATGCAGAGATCGAAGTTACCAAGCGCAACGTCATGGACACAAGCAGTGTAGTCACTCGGGAACTTCTGCTTGGACTGCTTAGTCGCCCAGCCAGGGACGATACTGAGCACAGGCTTTGGCTCGAACAGGTCCAAGGTCCGAACAAAAAAGTCGTAGCTCGGCCCTCCATATTCTTGATTTCGAGCAATGTCAGTTCGCTTCAGAATCCACGGTGCAACTGGATCGACGACAACTCTGATGACATGCCCGCCAACATCCAGTGAGTGCCTGCTCTTGTTGTACATGTTCACAGACCCGCATGTCTCATAGCTGTAATAAGCCGACATGTTCACCAAAGCACGAGAAGAATGCGGCCGCGTGCGGCAATGTGGTGACACCTCACTGCCCAGAATGCCGCCTGCTGCTTCACATTTTCCAGTGTGTATCGGGCATAGGGTCATATCCACGAAACACCATGGGTTTAAGCAGTGCGGCTCCTCGTTGGACCCACAATCAGATGCCGAGATGTTCGCATCATAGACATCACATCCCATGAGCCCGTAAGTTAAGGGACGACCCAATGCCACAAGCTCCGACCGCAGTTGGTCAATCAACTCTGAAGTGTTCGAAACGCATGGACATTCAGGTTCACCCAACATGCTTCGGGCTGCAGCGTCTACCATCCAACCGACAAGCAGCAAAGGCTTCATCATGCCAGAAGCAGCGAAACGGTCATCTTGTCGCCGGCACTGCCGCACTTTTCAAGGCCATCTGAATGCACTGCATGCTTGGCAGACAAACATAAACATCCAGTAAAGTCCGGAAAATCACCTGGAGGCAACTTTGGGCCACACCTGCATTGCACTTTACACATTTGGGAAGCAGGGATCTTCCCGCGCAACTTATTGTGTCTGTTGTTCAGCAAGCCCTGCTTATTCCGGATGTCCAACCTTTGCTAGATTCAACCGACCCATCTCTGGCTTATGTTTCTTGCCTCATTGTTGGCGGCATTTGGATCTAGGGGGTCAATGCAGGCGTTCGAAGACTCGAAGCCCTAATTCGTGAATCAACAAACCGCCAAAACCACGAGGCTAGACTTACGCTCTCGTTTGTGATTCTATTTGCATATATATTGAAAAAAATCAGTGTTTGTGCATATATATGTATGTATTTTTGTCCATGTGAATAAGGGTTCCAAATCGCCGGGGCTCGCTTCTTTGCATCCACAACCCTGGCCTAGGCCCTAAATCCAATCCTCGAGATTTCCTGCATCCTCCCTATTCTTTATTCTTGACGTTGCAACCCATACAATTTTGGAACTCTGTGCATATGTTTTGTGACATGTGTTGAATCGTTTCAATCAAAAACATGGGCTAACGAAAGCTTCGAATGATGAAATTGTTTTCTTCTGATTCCTGTCGCCCAAAACATAATTTTTCTATTCAAACGAATGCGACATATTTGCAACAAGACAATATGATGCAAGTGAAAATTTGCTTTGACACTTCGACGCCTTCGTTTTACACGGCGGATGGCGGCAAGAAGAAGCACCGATGGTCCAAGCTCGAACAAACTTGGGGCTCATTAAAATGCAAAACATTTCAAAAACGGAGTCAGGAACTGTCTAGCTTCGGTCTAACATTTGAGCATTCTAAAATGCAGACAAGATACATTTGCAACATCAAGAATATGATGCAACGTGAAAAATCGCTCTGACACTCAGGCGTCTTCGTTTTGCACTGGGGGATCGTAACTGTCTAAGCAAAAAAAAAGGCACCGATTACACAAGCTCGAAAGTTTCATTGAAATGCAAAACATTCAAAGACGGAATCAGGTTCTTTGGCTGCGAGTCTTGGTGACTGCGTCAGGGCGTCTCGGTTCCCGTACGAACTTGAACACCAAAATCCAACCAATCTGACCACGAAAAAAAAAAACTTTTGGATTGTAAGCACAAAAATCAAAGCAGCCAGGACAGTAAGTTTTTCAATTTAGAAACATGACATCGAATCAGTGCAAGTCCATCATGAATTCGCATGCCGCCCTGCCCAGCAACAAATGCCGTGCTATCTGAGGCGCGTGGAGACACACCAATTCTTGCACCCTCTTTAGCCAAAATTTTAAAATCGGACTTCGTAGAAATCTGGAATGTCTGTGTCTTTTGGACGAGAGGAGCCGAAGTCTCTCCCTTCAAGCTCTCCTAAGCCTCTCTTGGGGAAGAGCTTCAAGCTCTCTCTTAAGCTTCCCTCAAGAGTCCAAATGATACTTTAAGGGGACTCTAAGGGGAGCTTGAGGGACTTCTTAAGGGAGACGGAAGGCTGAAAGAGCTTCAAGAAAGGCTTAAAGGGGGCTTGAAGAGAAAATCAGTTCTCTCTCTGGGAGGGTGTTGTCAACTCCCACTCTGTGATAGCTACAGGCCTTGTTTCAAGACCTAGGTCAGAATTCTGTCATTTGAAGGTCTGCCGATTTTGAGGGCTGGAGTAGGGCCTGCAATCGTAGGGGCTCTAAAGTGCTTGCAAAACGCCAGCGAGTTGCTTCAAAGGCACCCTGAGGACCCGCGCGGAGCTTACGAGCCATTTGGGAGTGCTACGCCGCACTCTTGAGCTGTTTGGAAGCGGCGCGCGCTTGCACGCGCGAGTCTGTTGGACGGAGGCAGCTCCGGAGCTGTTGGGCCGGCAGCTGCTGAGGTGATGTTGGACCGGCAGCTTGTGTGCTGTTGGACCGGCAGCGCTTAAGCTGCTGAGGTGCTGTTGGACCGGC